GTTTCCAGCAATAAAAGGCCCAGGACAAAAGCCCCTTCAAACCATTAAGCCTCCATTCCCAGATGCCAACTACACCTCTAGCCTCTTTAGGTATGGGTAGTCATTGATGTTTGTGGGTAACTTGGCTGGCTACGATGAAAGTCAATCCTTTGATGAGATGAGTAATCAAAATGCATTGACCAATGTCCAAGCAGATATATGATGATACAGTGGAGGGCCTTGCTTGAGATCCTCTGAAAAATTAAAATAAAACCTGTACTTTGGTTCAATTGATCATCCCTTTCACCCTAGCATTTCAAAAACCTAGCCAATCTAAAGGAGAACTCAGGTCCCCATATAAAAGAGATACAAACAAACTCCAGGGAGGTCATTTGACCCAAACATCTATAAAGATGCCACTGGAGTTCCTTGGGAAGTTCCTAATGAATTCAAGGCTGGAAACCAAATAGCAGAAGGCTTTAAATCAGTACTATTCTGGCAGTCCACGATAAATAAAAACATAAGCTGGATTAATTATATCTACTACAATCAACAAAGACTTGTTACCTATACAAGGGATGCTACCAATAGAATAGCCTAGGAAAATAGACTAGCTCTGGATATGATGCTAGCTGAAAAGGGAGAAATTGGTGTAATGATCAAAGGCAAATGCTGTACTTTCACCCCTAATAACATGGCTTCTGATGGCACTATCACAAAAGATTTACAATGACTGACTACCCTGGCAAGTGAATTAGTCAAAAACTCTGGAATTGATGACACATTTACTAACCTAAAGGTGCAATGGTTCAAAAAATGGAAAGGTATGGTGGCATCTATTTTTTTATTTCTCTAATTATTATATGTGGAGCAATGGCTACAGTAGGATGTTGTATTATTCCTTGTGTGAGAGGAATAACTCTCTTTCAAAGATTAACTGGAATTGCCAAAAGAATATCTTCCTATTAGATACAGCTAAAAGAAAAGTCAACTAAATTTAGATAGGGTTAAAGATAAGAACTGTTAATAAAATAGAAGGGGGAATTGTAAGAATCAACAGAAGTCAAGTCTTTTCTGCCAAAAGGGTTAATTATAGTATAGTTATCATTGTGCAGATGTCAGCTTAACTTCTCCAAATTGTTGCCTATGTTTTATATATACTTAACCTTGCTGGGTTCCTGTCTTTGAGCAAAGGACTGGTTTTTTTCTTAGATTAATAAGTTATTTCTTATATTAATAACTTCCTATCTTAAAAATACTTGCTTAAAATAACTATTGCTCAGAGGAATTTCCTTATTCGTCTGCCCTAAGGTCCTTTGCCAAAAATGTCCTCTTTTCAAATTAACCAATCATGAAGATCGTGAACTCAAACCTGTTCAATAAGGGTGAGGGGCAGACTTGCATTAGAGATAAAAACCTGAGTGGACTTCTCACTCAAGTGAGCTTGGTAACTGGACTCTTTCTCTGTGGCACACCCTTGTGCAGAAGTAAAACTTGTCTTGCCCATTGACTTCCAAGTTGTGTGATCTCTTGTGACATGCCAATATTTAGAATTTATTTCCGACAATAAAATTTCTCATGCTCCAGATTTTCACCTTACTATTAAAAATAAAATAAAATAATGAAGGACCTAGAAAACTGAAATTGTGTCACCTTTTTGTTATTGTGCAATTGAGAAAGCCATAATGACCCAGCATGATAAGTAGTTCCCTTTCCCAGAATCATGTATTCTCTTTCCAAATGTTGGCTCATTTTAGATTTTTTTAAAAACCTTTATTTGTTTAGATTTAATAGCATTTTAAAATTCAGTATTAATAGCCTTTACTACAGACTGTAGTAATGTCATAAATCACTAACCACTGCAAATTTGTGTACTATCTTATATAAAACCTTTAATTGGGAAAACAGAAATATTACCTTTAGGTAATTGGAATAATTTTACATCATAAGAGTATGAAGTATCATATGAATGAACAGTCTTTGCCAGTAAACTAAAATCAGTTTGCTTATTCTTTTACTCAGTGATGTCTATTGACTCATTATTACATGATATGTACATAACTAGGCACTAGGCTGAGAGGATACAAAAGATGAAATCTTTGTCCTCTGAAGACAGCAGCCTAACATGCAATGAGGTATTCCAGCAATTTCCAAAGACCACAGCAAGAGTTGTTTTCTACTGAAAGGGCTTAGACAGCAAACAAAAACCCCTCTAATTGTAGGTAGGAATTATTGTTTTAAATCTATCCATGTTAGTGACATTTACATGGGGTAGAAATGTTGAAGAATAGGAATCATTTAAAAATAAATGAAAAAGCTTGAAAATTATCCCATGAAGGGATTAAGCAATAAAAGAAGGCATAGTTACAACAGTTCGGTGAGATCAGGTCAGAGTTTCTCCCCCAATTATGTAAATGTAAAAATTATGCTTCTAGAACTTTCTATTTTTTCAAGTTATTTAAAATTACACCAGTAATAAGTTAATGGTACAAATTTTTGCTTGTTTCATGGTCAATACCCCATTCTTTAACCCTCCCACATATAGACACATATGCACAAAATCATATGCACATACAAACATGAATTTTATATAAAATTAAACCTACATAAATTCTTTTGGATAATGTAATTTTCTCAGAAATTTTCTTAACATACATTTCAAGGATTCTTAATTACAAAATTTAGAGAGCCAGTTCATTTTTACAAGTACCTTAAGAAGTATAGTTACAAAATTAAAAGGAACACACCATATATTTATACTGTTCATTTCTAATTTGTATAAAACTCTCTTCTTTAACGAGAATGGTCAGAGCTCAACAGGTATCCCAAGATGTCTAAAACAATTGCACTAAAACTTCTGGAAGTCATTTCAAAGGAGAAACAAATGCATTTGCTACATATTAGAAATGTCAATTAGCAGGCAATTTGAAGCATTCAAAAGATTGGGAAAAGTGAAAGGTCCCTGTAATTAATAATGGAGCAAGCATTGTGGCTACACAGGAGGCATAGTTAGGAGAATCACAACACTATATCAAAATGTAAGACCTTATCTGAAAAACAACTAAAGCAATAAGGGCTGGGTGGGGGGGTGTGGGCTCACTTTGCCTATGAAGAACAAGGCCATAAGTTCAAACCCCAGTATTGCCAAAAAGAAAAAAATAATAACAAGAATAATTGAGATGTGAAGTTGACACAACTAAAAAGAATGAATGCCCTTTATAAAAGCATCAATTGTCCGGCAAGTATTTTATACAAATTATAATATTCCCAATCACTACAGAAGCTAAATACTATTTCCTTATTTACTAAAAAAGAAAAACTCAGCTATAAAATGTTTTGATAACTTAACCAGATAGCACCACTAGTGAAGGTAGAATAAGGATTAGAATCCAGGTCTGTTTGAGGAGCATGAGAATTGTTCCTTTATTCACTGGTACACTGACAAAATCAAAAGTGGCAGATGAAATCCAAAATTCATTAAATTTATTCTGAGGTATTTTAATTTATATGATATTGTGAATGGTATTCTTTTCCTGGAAAAGTGAACTAAACAGACAATTCTCAAAAGAAGAACAAAGGGCCAATAAATACATGAAGACCTGCTCAATATCCTCAGCCATAAAAGGAAATACAAATCAAAATGATACTAAGATTTCACCTCACTCTAGTCAGAATGGTTAACATCAATAACACAAACAGCACAAATGCTGAGGGGATGCAGGAAAAAGCAATGCTTTTGCACACTATTGGTGGAATGTAAATTAGTGCAGCAAAAAGCAATACGGAGGTTCTTCAAAAAACTACAAACAGACCTACCATATGATCCAGTGATACCATTTCTGGGCATATACCTGAAGGAACGCAAGCAAGTTTACAATACATCCACTTGCACATCCATGTTTATTGCAGCATATTCACAAAAGTCAAGCTCTGGAAATAGCTCAGAGGACCTTCTACTGATGAATGAATTCACAAAATGTGGTATATATATGCAATGAGTATTATTCAGCCATAAAGAATGAAATTAAGTTTTTTGAAGGTAAATGGATGCAACTGGATATGGTCATATTAAGTGAAACAAATCAGGATCAGAAGGACAAAGGTCACATGTTTTCTCTCATGTGCAAACTAGGCTTATAAGACAAACTTACACATAAATATATATATGATCATATATTTACATATGTATGTACATGTGTGTATTAGCAGAGAGAGATAAAACATGCTTATATAAGTGGGTCTGTCTGAGGGGACTACAGGGAGGCAGGAGAAGAAAAGAGAATGATAGAGAATAAGCAATATTGAAATGTAATGCATCTGTATATGAAGATAGTGTAACGTATGGACTGTAAACTGTTGAATACTAGAGAAAGAGAAAAAAGAGTGGTGCTTAATCTTATTGAAGCATGATATAGATAAAAATATATATGTCTGAAATACAAAGACTAAACCTTAAACAATCAATATACACCTGAAAAAATGAAGCACACAAGGTTAAAATCGGCCACGTCTGAAAGTAAGCATCAGTGGGGGAGAAGGGTAAATGGAAAGGATGAAGGAGGGTGAATATGGTGACTGTATTTTTTATTTGTGTATGAAAATAGAAAAATGACAACTATTGAAATTATTCTAAGAAGGTAGGAGAAGAGATGAGGAGAACAATGGAGGGAGGGAACCTAATTAAGACATATTGTAATCTTATATGTAATTATCACAATGTATTCTCCCTGTACAACAATTATATGCAACTTTTTTTCAAATCTGAAAGAAAGAGACCCCAAATTTAATGTATACATGAGAGAACAGGATCTAAAAGAGGCCCCCTCATAGATCACTAGCACGTAAATTGCCAGGATTCTCCCATTTAAGGAAATTTATTAAGCATACAGAGGAATACTTTTAGGAACACACAATCTGACCATAAAAGTCTTCTTTGTTGTAAACTCAGGAGAGCTGTCTACTTCTATTTGGTCTCTCATTTGACTTTGGTGAAAGAAAACAAGAAGTCTTAGTCCTCATCTTTATCTGAATTTCTCTAGAAGTTTCCCAAGAGCAGCCTTAACTTCCTTGTTCCTCAAGCTGTAGATCAAGGGGTTCAACATGGGTGCCACCACAGCATAAAACAGAGCAACCATTTTCTCCTTGTTTTCAGAGGAGGCAGAGCGTGGCCCCAAGTAGATGAAGACCGTAGCTCCAAAGCACATGCAAACCACCGTGAGGTGGGAGGCACAGGTCCCAAAGGCTTTGTGACGTCCATGAGCAGAGTGAATGCACAGAATAGCAGCAACTATACGAGCATAGGAGAACAGAACCAGGGAACAGGGAAGAATGATCACCAGAAATCCTGAGATGGCCACCATGACCTTGTTAAAGGAGATGTCCCCACAGGCTAGTCGAAGCACTGCTAGGGTGTCACAGGCAAAGTGATTCAGAACATTGTGACACAAGGGAAGCTGGAAAGTGATGATTGTTTCCATCAGTGAATTGGAGAAGCCAGTCACCAAGCAGCCAGCAGCCAGCCCCAGGCACAGCCCTCCATGCATGATGACTGTGTAGTGCAGTGGGTAGCACACTGCGACATAGAGGTCATAGGCCATGACTGCCAGCAGGAAGAACTCAGATCCACCCAGTCCCAGGGAAGCACAGAGCTGGAGCACGCAACTCTTGAACGGGATGTGCTTTTGTGCTGAGAGTAAGTGGACCAGTGTTTGTGGGGCAAAGCTGTTTCCATAACTAAGATCTACAAAGGACAGAACACTCAGGAAGAAGTACATGGGAGTATGAAGCCTGCTGTCTAGTCTTATCAGAATGAGAATGAGCGAATTCCCCACAATAGTCACCAAGTACATGGCCAGGATCAAGACAAAGAGGACGACCTGAGTGCCCTAGTCACTGGACAGGCCCAGCAGAATGAACTCGCTCACCCATGTCTGGTTGGTAGTTTCCTGCCCCATGAGCTTCAGGACTGGAAGAATGATTTCAGACCCTACAGGGAACTTAAAGTTCATACAGACTCAGCTTGGACACATCCATGGTGAGAACCACAATAGGAACCAGCTGTGCAGATAAAAATCAAGGAGAAAAGCAGTCATATTCTCTGAATTCAATTTATAGGAACATAATATCCTCTTCGAAATGACTTCTCTGAATTGCAGAAGGGGGTCAATGAAGTTTTTTAAGGTTAAAATCCTATTTGACTTAGTAGTTATAGTATATACATACATGTATATGCACATACACACATATATAATGCATACACACACATAGACAATAAAATGTCTTTCTGATGAGAAAAAATTTGGTCCACATGAACAACTTTTTCTGAATTATAAATGCTATCTAGTACCACTTACCTCTTTCTTGTTTTCTGGGTTTCCACTCTAGAGATCTCAGACACAACCCTACTCAGCTCTCCACAGTGGAATGCATCCATAAGACTCTGATCTTTTACATAGTTTTCTTATACATTCCAACACTAAGAAATTTTGAGTTTGTTTTATGTAACTTACCCTTTTAATTCTACTGTCAAGTTAAAGACTTCCTCCCAACCTACTTTATACTAGTGGCCCCAGTTGGTCAACACCAACTAAAAAGTGTCAACTTCAAGGGTTAGATGTTACACAAAGAGAAAGTGTACATATGGCAAAAAATAGTCCCATGTATCACCTGAGGTGAATTTAATGAAGAATTTGATAATGTCAAGGTCCTACTTAATAGTAATATTTTCTCAGGGAAGATACAGCTCATTTATTTCCTAAGGAAAAGGCTTTGTTCTCACCAGTGAAGGCAGGAGAATAGGACATGGGAGCATTAATCACAAAATATTGTAGTAGTAGTAGTATGGTTTGTTTATTTAGACCTTAGTAAGTCTCTGCTCAAGACAGGAAAACATCAGGAAGATGAAAAGACAAACCGTAGAATGAGAGAAATACTTTGCAAACCAATTACCTGAAATAAGGTTAATATACAAAATATTTATAGGATATTTCGGCATACAATATAGCAAAACAAACAAAAAGCCTCTAAAGCACAATAAAACAAACATAACAACAGTATCAACCACATCAAAAAACTTTATTAACAAATGAGCAAAGGATCTGAATGTGCATTTCTCAAGTGAAGACCTGTAAGGAGTATGAGAATATACTTAGCACCACTGTAGGAGTGAAGACTCCAGTAGGAGTATGAGAATATACTTAGCACCACTGTAGGAGTGAAGACTCCAGTAGGAGTATGAGAATATACTTAGCACCACTATTAGAGAAATTCAAGTTGAAACCACAGTGACATGTCCTCACACTAATAGTGATTCACGGACCAAAGTGAAATTTGTGGTAGGAAGGAAGAGATCCATTGTCAAAGAGTGTTGATTATGGCCTGAGGCCTTGGAGAGAACCCTACAGCAGTATATGAGGATGGGCACGTGATGACTGCTAATACTCATGCTGGGAACAACCATCGATTCTGGTTTTGACTAAAGGCTTGTAGATTCAGTCTACAAGTTCTAGGAGTGTTTTTTAGAGATCAAACACAGGAGGTTGGGGTACTTAAGATTAAATTTCAGTATCCTGAAGATAGCAATGTTCAGAAGTTCATCATAAAACACTCAGTATTCATATTGTTCTAAATACCAAAATGACAATGAAAAGTATTCAAAACAGAAAATTCAGAAATTGCATGTCAAACAGATTAGAGAAATAATCACTGTGACACATGCACCACATTCAACATATTTTACAGAGAATTTCCAGCCATCCACACCAAAATCCATTGAACAAAGTAGCTATAAGATTGGCAGAGAAATACACAATGTTTGAAGGTGTTAAGCATGGTTTTTCACTGAGGAAAAGGATAAAAAGGATTCTAAATCCTTGGCACAAGTGGGTAGTTTATGATCAAAAGTGATATCTTACTTGAATGTTCAAGGTCATTTTTTAGCCCATAACTAAAAAACAAATGTGCTGTCTTAATTCTTTTATATTCCTCTTCTTGTAATTTTCTGTTGTGCTATATTATTTGTACATGAATTTCTTTTGATTCTGCCATACTTTATGCTGGTATAAAGGGGATTTATTCTATAATCATAGGAAATTTCTTACAATGATTAGGAAATTTCCTAGCCACAAAAGCTCTGATACAAATACGGATTAACACTGTTCATGGTGTTTTCTTATCTTGATGTAAATGTGCTTTTGCTATTCCAATGCTCTTTAGAGAACCAATAACGGTGTCACTACAAAATTCAGCTGAATGACAATCCCATCCATCCTTCCCAATGTAACTGCTTTTTACTATACCTATGGATTCCTATACTTGCAGTTTTCAGAATATATAGATTGAGGGGATCTTTAGGTCCATTTTGATGACCAAGGGAGTTCTCTAAAAAGATCATAGCTAACTTCTCTACAGATGCTATATTAAATTAAAAGTTTTGAACTATATTTCTCTCATGTGGGAGTGTTTTATTTTTCTCTATGTTTACTTTCTCCTCCTTCCTAATATGACTGCAAGTTTGCAGTCATATTTTAGAAGAGAGTAACACTTCTGTCTTTCTCAATCTCTTGCTCACTCTCTCTCTCTCTACCCCTCTCACTCTCTCTCTCTCTCTCTCACACACACACACACACACACAAACTCACACACAGAATTTAAGCTTTCTATGGGAAAAAGTTAGAAGACGAATGTTATTATAAAAAGAAAGAATTGACATCCATGAAGGAAAAAGGGAACCAAAAATACTCAAACACAATGCAAAAAGAGTAGGCTAAAAATGCCAAGAAATGAAAATTGAACCAAGTGAACAATGGAATCTGTGACTATTAGAGAAAAGATCATTGAAATAAACATTTATGAATGGCACTTCTCATTTTTAATCAATTCATGTTTTTTTAAATTTGTCTAATACTTTATACTCCACCAGCTCCAATACACCTTTACTATTCCTTTCCAGACTGTTATGCTTAGTGCTTTGTAGTGATGGTTTTCTAGAATTTGAGTCTATTGTAGAAAATCTGCCCAAAACAGTCACCAAGGAGAATCAGTGGATTCTCTGAAGCTTTGAACAGTGAGAACTTCAGAACTTACCCATGTATTCAACTCTTCATTTTTACATCCCCAAGCAAAGGCCAAAGGACTCAAAAACACTTACCTTTTATGTAGCTATGGCATTATTATTTCAACACAAGCTTAATTTCTGCTTTCCCATCACTATGTCATAATTTGTAAGGACAGCAAGTACTTCACCAAAATCATCTCTAAATTACCAATGCACAGTGGAGATGTTCGTAAACGGACATGACTTTACTCAGAGCTTTTAGAACAGTTTTGTAAATAGACATGTGATGAAGAAAAGGAACCTCAGTAAAATGCATGGAGAGCCTAAAGGATCAGAGGAAGCACACAAATACCATCTGGAGCATAACCAGGAACCCTTGTCTTCTGCCTCCGTGGCCATCAGTCTCCCTCCCCTCTGCTAAGCTCCTGTCCAGCTCTTTGCTGTGGTCTCATTCCTCCCTCACCTCTTCTGTGTCCAAAATTCAGAAAAAAAAAAAATCACGTGGACCTGGTTATAAGGGGGAAAAGAGCTAAATTTTTATTGCAAGTAGAAATGCCAATATTTAATGTCACCATAACAGATCTGTGCCTTTGGATCATTTTCATGTGGCTCAGATATTTTATTTTCACTTTAGGAAACCCTTTCCAGTGGATTGGTGACTTATGGAAATGAAAGATGTTCCTTAACACTGTACTGCATCAGCTTTCACACGTATAAATTCAAGAAAGTGACATAAATTATCACTCTTTCAGCAGTCAAAGACATAGTTACACAGCAAAAATTAAAATATCAAAACAATGTATTAAGTGAATATACAAGTGGAAATAACCTTGAAACTGTAAGAATATTTTAAAAATTTGCATTAGAAAGCAACCTGAGTGCTAGAGAGGCTGTATGACATTCTCGCCAGCTCTAAATGAGCAGTTGTGGGAATCATTTTAGACAGGTTTGTCACTTAGAGACTTGGTCTTCAAACAGAAATTCAGTTTGGAGAAAAAAAGACTTGGTTCTGAGTCTTTCCTTCCTGTGACATCTGCAAAGGAAAATCCGACAGTACACTGTTAGGGACCAAGGTTGTGAATTTATAGCATACTGATTAAGAGGTTAGGCCCATCTTAGGTTGGGAACCCTTAAATCTCTTGGGAAGTCTGGCTCCCAGTTTTGAATAACTAGATCCTTGATTCTTAGGACAAATTTCCAGTAGAGGACAACTATATCAAGCCACCATAGTCTTAGACTTGAATAGAGAAGGCTACAGATTTTAGGAAATTGGGTTCATGACTAATATTGTTGAATGTGTTAAAGAAACAACAACAATAAAAATGCCTGTCTCACCTTTGAGAGTGAGGAATACTGTCCTGTGTCTTTGAAATATGGCAGGCTGAGTAAGTTTGAAATTTGAAGACAGTGGTTAGAACACTTAACTTTTTCAAATTTAGGAAGGAATCTCAAAGGGCCAATTATATGTTGTTAATTAGGTTTCTTTCTTCCCATGACTCCCCCTGTCCCCAGTTTGGCCAATTCTGTGACTAACACCCTAACCTACAGTCCAAGTTTGCAAAGGAAAGTTTGCTTTCTTGTCCCTGGGGCAAAGGAAGGAGTTCAACAAACTTTAATTTCTCGAGGGAACTGCACCTGCTCTTCAGTGATTCCACATCAAATAGTGGGCACTTTCATTGACCTTGATGAGGATGCAGATGCAATAAAACCTCTACTTCTTCATTTAATTTGCCCATCTCAACTTTCCTTTGAGCAATAGCTACTGGTCCAAGCCACTCAGGGCTCCATACATGGTGATGCTCTCTGTGTATAATTTGATGAGAGCAAGGCAGGGGTCCATTTTCATTAGTATCCCTAATGAGTTTTTATCTATTCTTGAGCTGTTCTCTGTATTTTGAA